GAAACCACCATATGATCCAGTTATCCCACTCCTTGGTATTTTCCCAAAAGACCTAAATTTGGCATATAGCCACCTCAATGTTTATAGCAGCACAATTCACAATACTAAATTATGGGATCAATCTAGATGCCTGTCAACAGATGAACACATTTAGAAATTGTGGTGTATATATATACAGAGAAGTTCTACTCAGAAAAAAAAAAGAAAGAAAGAGAGAGAGAAAAAGAAGAAGAAGAAAATTATCATTTACTGATAAATGATGGAAATGGAAAATATTATGCTAAGTGAAATAAGCCAAATTCAGAAACTTAAAGACAGCATATTTTCTCTCATATATGGAAGCTAGACTAAAATAAGGAAAAGAGTGAGGGGAGGACACAAAGAACCAATCAAATATAAAACAATCAAATATAAAACAATCAAATATAAAATAATAGATGAGCAAAAGGAAGTCTAGTAGAATAGAGGAAGAAGAATGGGAGAGGGGAAGGAAAATGGAAGGAAAAGAAGGGATCATGAACTGAATTCAATTTCCTTGCATTGTTGGGATGAACCCAAGTACTACGTATAATTATAAAGCTCTGATAAAAAATATTTTTAAAAAGCAAGAAAGGTGAAAATTAAAATAGATGAGAAAAAAAGAAAGCCCAAGATAAGTAAGATCCTCTTATTCTTTCTCAAATGTATGCTAACATGTCTATCTTTCCTATCACTACACAAAAGTTGTTTTGCTGGATCACCAATGACCCCCATATTGGTAAATGACTCAATGGTCATTTCTTAGTCTGTAAAAATTGACCTATCAGAAATATTTGCTTACAGGGATCACTCTCCATCTCCATGATCAAAGAGATTCACTAGGCATCTAGGTTTTCTACCTATCTCATAGGTCCCTCCTACTTCTCTTATCTCCTTTACTGTTTGTTCCTCATCTCTTAGATCTCTTTGAAGTTGCAAAATTCCAAGATTCAGTCTTTTCCATCTACTCTCAATCTCTTCATAATTTTACCCAGTCTCATGGTTTTAATACCACTGTTTGTGTTGCCCAATAAGGTAGCTACTAACACATGATTAAATTTAAATTATGTAAAATTAAATAAAGTTAAAAATTTAGTACCTCAGTCATAATAGTTACATTTGAGGTACTCAATAGCCACGTCTAGCTACCATATTAGACAATATTAGACAATGTAGAAATAAAACATTTTCATCATTGTAGAAAGTTCTATTGACATAGGCAATGACAACTTCTATGTTAATATTTCTAGCCTAAATATTTCTCCTGAATATCAGACTTACATAGTAAATTGGCTACTCAACATCTACCTGTTTACAATATACAACTCAAAACTAACATGTCTAAAAATTTATTTTCTTCCTCCAAAATTACCCCACCCACTGTTTTCCTCATTTTAGTTGTTGGAATCTTTTCCTAGTTGCTTAGGCTAAAGTTCTTGGAATCATACAGCACTTCTGTTTCTCAGTCTGCATTCAATCCATTAACAAACTTATTGGTTTTTCCTTCAAATATATCCAGCATTTGACCACTATCATTACTTACCAAGTTACTACAACTGCTTTTAAAGGAGCTCCCTGCTTCTACTCCTTTCTCCCTATAGTCTATGTTCCAGACAGCAAGTAAAGAATTGTGGAGAGATGTAATAAGGAATATGACCTCATCCAACTATTTGTTACATTTGGTGGGAGTGCACTGGCACCCAAAGGGCAGAAATCAGGGATGCTGCTAAACATCCTACAATGCATAGGAGAATCTCCTTCCAAAAAAAAAAAAAAGATAATTCTGAGGCTAAGAGGACTTACTCTAGGGGGAAAATAGGAGATTGTGATTAGGGGGCCTTATATGGAAATGGCAGCATTTCATTTCTTTAACTTGATTCTAGATACATGGCTTTTTGCTTTATAATTATTCTCTTCTATTTATTTTCTCTCTCCCTAAACTCCCCCTCCACTATACACACACATACCTTTATGCACTTTTTTGTATATATATTTCATAATAAAAAATGCAGAGAGAACTGAGTAAGATTTAGCTCAGTGGTAGAGCATTTGCCTAGCATGTGCAAGGCTCTGGGCTTACTCCCTCCATCAAAACCAAGACAAATGCCATACCTTTATTCCTCACTTTGTAAGTTACTATTATAATATTCATTTTATAGATAAGAATATAAGGCCCAAAGAAGAGAAGCAACTAATCAAAGTGTTAGAATAAAACTGAGGCAGTCTTAGTCCAGAACCTGCACTGTTTGCCCCATAAGCTGCACTATCTATCCTGTTCTCTCTTTGCGTTTCACTTTCTTCTGTTTGTTACTGCCCAGACCACTTAAAAATTATAGTTTCATTGTTGTTGTATTTGTTGAATGGATAATTATGTCAACTTATCCTAATTTTCCAGATGTAACATTTATAGAAGAATAGAAATAAAATATTTGAATCAGAAATCCTGTATTTACCACTTACTACCTATATAATATAGCATTAATTATTGAACCAGTTTAATTAATTATCAGTTATTAATTATTTGAGATGATTATTAATAACACCCATCTCATTGGGTTGTCAGAGAATTAGCATACTACATTTATCAGTTTTCAAGAAAATAAATGTCTAGGTATATTATTATGATTCTCAAATACCAAATGAAAATACTTGGTTTTTAACAAACATAGCCTTTTAAGGTCTCTCTTTTTCCTCTTTTTTTGTACTTCTGCAGATGGAACCCAGAGCCTCAGGTGTACTAGTACTAGACAGGTACTGTACCACTAAGTCACATCCACATGCCCCACCTGAGATCTACCCTTTCTTTTAAGAGAAAAATTCTTCAATAGTGAACAGTTATGCAAATGTTAATCTGCCATTGATTTTTGAGAATCAGAAGCCATTAATAATGTACACTGTTTTTCTTTCTCTGTTTCTTTCCTTTTCTTTCCCCTTTCTACTTTATTGCTTGATATTTAAACTAGTAAAAACCCTCATTTAACTTAGTCTTATTGGTGACAAGCAAATGTTAAAGAAAAATGTGAAAGCAGTACCTTATGAAAGTAATATTTCAAAACAATAGAGGGGCTGAAGGTATAGCGGGTAGAGCACTTGCCTAGTATGCATGAGGCCCTGGGTTTGATCCTCAGTGGCAGAAGAATAATATAAGAATAATACAAGGAACTTGGGAATAACTTAATCCTGAAAATCAACTTTTTTTTTTTTGAGATAAGGTCTTCCTAAGCTACCCAAGTGAGCCTGCCTGAATTTCCAAATCTTGTGCTGCCTAGGTGGACCTAGCTAAATTTTTACCTTGCCCTAATCTTGCTTATCTTTGAGGAGAGGAGGCCAAAGGCCAGAAGTCCTCTTCAGGTAGGCTAGCTAAAACTTGTTAGATCTAAGTGCTGCCAAAACTACAGCCAGTCAATCTCTAACTTCATTTCATCTGCAAGCTAAAAGACAACCCCCCACCCCCTCATGATAGTTGATAGTTGCCATGACCCAAACCAGAAAGAATCATAAAGAAACAAAAATGAAGTGGTGTCTGAATTCCTGGAAACTCTTTGCCTAGTCCCAGAAAAGACATAAATAAGCCCTCCCTTTTATTGGCTTCTCCCTCCCCCTCATTTTTCTCCCTAAATCTATACACTCCCAATACCGAACAGACAGGAAGTTGGTATAGGAGTTTATCTCCCACTTCTATTCTTGGCCAAGAATAAAGGTCTTCTTCACTGCTCAGTCAGTGCTTGGTCTTGCTATTGGTTCCACAATTCCAAGAGAGAAAAGGGACCTAGCTTTTGGAGTCAAAAATTAGTAATATGCAGGATGGTTTTAAACTCCTAGGCTCAAGTGATCCTCTTGCCTCAGCTTCCCCCAAGTAGCAGGGACTACAAGCATATATCACCATGTCTGGCTAAAATACATAAAGAAATTTTTATATCTCTAAGTTCATATGTATAAACATTTAGAACCATGGCAAATACTACTCTGTATCAGAACTTGTTATTATTATTTCTGAACTTAATAAAACTAAGCCTAATGTAACTCTATTTTGCAAGGAGGAAAACAACCTATATATTAAGTTGCTAAAAAATGCTAGAGGGCTGGGGGTGTAGCTCACTGGCAGAATGCTTGCCTGGCATGTGCAAGGCCGTGGGTTCAATCCCCAGAACCATTAAAAAAAAAGAAAAGAAAAATGCTAGAGAAAGAACCATATTATTCCTTAACCCCTAATTGCTTAAAAAAAAAAAAAAAACCTTCAGAAAGATTTGTTTATATTATACACAATGATTAAGCTTATTAAGTAGTGCCTGAATCTTACTCTTGGCTCTGCGTTTGCCAACTATCACTTTGGACAATTTATTTAAATTCCTTAAGATTCACCAGTTTGGAGGATAATAAAATTATGAGTCTTACTGGGTTTGATATTTAAATGCAATAATACATGCAAGGTGCCTGATACACAGTGGAAAAAAAATATATATATATAAAGCTATCATTTTCATTATGAGTTTGGCTCTTCAAAAGTACCTATAAATGAAATCTGCATTGGCTTACTTCAGGCCTGAATAAAATCAGCTAACATACCTTCATACCCTTAGTAACTCAGCAAGGTTAAAAAAAAAAAAAATTAAATGGGGGGCTGGGGTTGCGGCTCAGTGGTAGAGCGCTTGCCTCGCACTGGTGAGGCCCTGTGTTCAATCCTCAGCAGCACATTAAAAAAAAAAAAAAAAAAAAATTAAATAAAGATATCGTGCCCCTCTACAACTAAAAAAAAAAAAGAAAAAAAATTAAATAGTTGACCATCATAAAATGAATGAACTGCCACAAACAGAAGAATACTAAAGGAAAATAATTTATTTCTGAAGAAGAAAATGGTATCATATTAGAGGAAAATTCAAGGAAAAAAAAAACAAAAACAAATCGATGGAAAGGCAGTGGGAGATGGAAAGATAGAAATAAATTTTACTTATTGAATGCCTCCTCATGGCCTAATGGCTTACCTGGTATTGTTTAATTCCAATTAATCATTAGAATTTGGGAAATAAGTTTCATCTTCATGAAAACAGACAAAAACAGAAAACAGACAAAGAAAGAAAAGAAATTGAAGGTCAGAGAAGAAATTTGTCCTAAAATCACTTAGCTAATAAAGTCTGGGATTAAAACAAGTCACTCTGATCTGATCCCAAATGTTTTTTCTACTTGATATATGCCTCAAGAAAGAATAAGATTACCTAAAAGACAAAAGAAACATCTATAAATCAGTTCTTTCTTTTCCTATTTTCCTTCTTATTTTTTAAAAAACAAATCTATTTGTAAATAAAAATGAGCAATAAGGGGCTGGGGCTGTAGCTCAGTGGTAGAACACTTATCTCACATGTGTGCACTGGGTTCTATCCTCAGTACCACATAAAAATAAATAAATAAAGATACTGTGTTCACACACACACACAAAAATTCAGTCTACTGTTATATCTTAAAAAAAAGAACAACCACAAATAAAAAAAAAAGGACAATAATATACAAAATGGCAAATAGTCTTAAATTATTTAAAACACAATTGGGACTAGGATGATTGAAAATGCATGCCTGGGTATCCAGACAGCAATTTGAACACATTGAAATTTGTTTTCTTGAAGTCAACTAGTTTAGATGAATCTATTTCCTATTGCAAACTTTTTTGTCTCAAGGTTAGGTATTCTTTAAGCAGCAACAACGCTTCTAGTGGCAGTGAAACAGGAAAAGGACAATAGCCGAGTAGAGTAGCAAAAAGATACCTGCTTAAACACCTGTAGAAATAGATGGCTACTCTTCAAAATTTACTTTGTAACCAATATACTCTGCCACATAATTTAATATGAGAATGTGACTGAGTTTAGAGAGACTAGATCCTTTTACCTCCTGAAGATTATATTTTAACTACAGAGTGAATGCTAGGAAAACAGGAAAGAGAAATTTAGAAAGATCCTGGAATTTTAGTCAGCCTTACCAAAAAATAATAATCAAGAATAGAAAAATTTAAGTGTTATTCAGGAATTAAAATAAAGGTTCCAGTTTATTAATATATGAATATTTGTTTTGAACAAGCCTGAAATTTTGTGCCATAGTAAAATTATTTATTTCAAGGAAGCAGAAAACTGACAATATCTTAGCAATTTAAGTAATTAAAGTTGAGGAGTCAAAAGTTCCTGGTGCCTTTTAATCCAATATTTAATAATTTTCAAGTAAATATGATGAACTTGAAAGGAAACTGGTAATTTCCAGCTGCCTCAATTAGCCTGAATGTCAAATTTCCCTAGAATGTTGTTTAAAAGGAATTTAATGCCTTTTTTAAATGTCTTGATGAGAACTATAAAATATTTTGGAATAAGATGAATTTGGTTGAGAAGTGAATTAGAGTTCCTTAGATATTATTATATAGATGATAATGCAGAAAAGTCTATCAATGATTAACTAAAATGCTAAATATTCTTCCAGTATTTATTTGCCATAGATATAACACTGCTATGATTTTTGGTAAATATGCAAGTTGTCATAAACAGACATATTCACTTCAATATTTCATTCAATATTTTAGCTTTAAAACAAAGTCACAGATGTGAGACTATTAAGTCAAAGCTAAGTCAACCAATAAGGAGTTCCTAATTGTTTAAGATTGGTTTAAAATGGAGTCCTACTATGGTTTGGATATTTGTATTCCCTCCAATATTCATAATAGAACTTAATTGCCAATGTTTTGGTGTTAAGAAATGGGGCCTGAGCCAGGCGCTGTGGTGCATGCTTGTAATCCCAGGGGCTTGGGAAGCTGAGGCAGGAGAACTGCAAGTTCAAAGCCAGCCTCAGGAACTTAGTGAGGCGCTAAGCAACTCACTGAGACCTTGTCTCTAAATAAAATACAAAAAAGGGCTGGGGACATGGTTCAGTGGTTAAGCGCCCCTGAATTTAATCCCCAGGACGGAGGAGAAGGAGAAGGAGGAGGAGGAGGAGGAGGAGGAGGAGGAGGAGGAAGAAGAAGGACCTGCCAGGCACAGTGTCACAGACCTGTTGTCCCACCTATTTGGAAGGTTGAGACAGAAGAATCACTTGAGTCCAGGAGTTTGAAGCTAGCCTGGACAATAGGACAACAGGAAGGGACCCCTTGTCTCAAAAAAAAAAGGAGATGAGATGACTAAGTATTAGTCCTTATAAAAGGGCCAAAGGGAACTAGGTAGGCCCCTTTTTACCCTTCTATCCCTTCTAACATGGGACACACAAGTATCAATTTGCAATAGAATACCAACAAATTTAACTATGGACCCATCACACAATTATTTATGTTCTTTCTCAAAGGCTAAAAATTTAGTCTTCTGGAATACATATGTGTGTAGAAGGGAGAGAAATATACCAAGAAGGCATCATTTTAGAAGGCTCTCACCAAACATTGAATCTGATTATACCTTCATCTTGACTTCATGCTCCAAGAACTGTTAAATATAAACTTGTTATTTATAAAATATTAAATTTGAGGTATTTCTTAGAGCAGTATGAACCAAGTGAGGTAGGTCCCAATAAGAAATCAACGGTTTAACAGATAAATGTGATAACTTGAAATGTTATTTAAAATGTTGGTGCCTTTAATGAAGCACTTATCCTCTTCAAAAAGACATAGAGAGGGGCTGGGGTTGTAGCTCAGTGACAGAGGAAGGGAGTTAGATAAATTTGCCACTGATCTTTCAATTATGGACTTATACAGAAGAAAACACATATGCCATAACAGAAATACAGGACTGGTAGAAAATTTTAACCTCTTAATCCTTTTTAAAAACTCGAATGGCATTATATCTTTTTTTTCTTTCTTTCTTTCTTCTTTCTGGTACTGGGGATGGAATCCAGGACCTTAAGCATGCTAGGCAAGTGCTCTACCTCTCAGATACATTCCCAGCCCTATTCTTCTAAAAAAATATTATAGAGTATCATTTTAATTTGCAATTCAGGTTGGTATTCCTATCTTTCTGTGCTAATTTTATCCATTATTGTAAATATTTAGGGTATTATAAAATAAATTTAAAAATCACAATTAACAGCAATTTTTATGTATGTAACTGCAATAGACAGTACTTAAGATTATGAGGGGAAAAACGATTTTCTAACTGTTCTCAGAGCTCTAAAGGGCATAAATAGGAAAGGAAAGGTAAACTTTGTTTTCTTAGAGGCATAGAAACTATAGGTGCTATCTTTGCTATCAACCTTTTATCTTCATATGAAGAATTGTAGTTGTTTAAGGCAGAAAATTTTCTTAAAGTTACGTATTTAGGGTTACTTTGAACTACTGAAAAGTTTAAATAAAAGCCTTTCCCCTGAGCAGTTGTCTATTATTCTGTATATGTCAATTCAATATCATGGCCCACAAAGGCATTAAAAAGAAAAAGAAATTAAAAAGAAAAAGGCAAGCTGGGCTTGGTGGTGCACAACTGTAATCCCAGCGACTAGGGAGGCTGAGCCAGGCGGACTGCAAGTTCGAGGTCACCCTCAGTAACTTAGGAAGCCCCTCAGCAACTTAGCAAGATGATGTTTCAAAAATAAAAAAGGACTGAGGACCTGGCTCAGTGGTTAAGCGGCCCTGGTTTCAAAAAAAAAAAAAAAGGGGGGGGGGTGTACTCAGTGTGTGGCTCAGGGGTAGAGGGCTTGCTTAGCATGCATGAGGCCCTAAGTTCTATCTTCAGCATCGTGAAACAGAAAAACAACTTACTACTGAATTATTTAATAGTGTAACGACACAAAAAGATCCCCAGAGATTAAGAAAAAGGAAGGGGTGCGCCTGGTGATGAATGGGTTCCTCTAACTCGGAGGAATCTCAGTTTCTCATCTGTAAAGTGAGGCGAATGCTCTCGGCCAGATGTTCTCCCAGCTCCAGTATTCTCAGACAGCTAACATACCAAGCCACCCACTATCAGGATCCTCAACTGGCACCAGTCAATCTCGTGACAAGCGTGCGAAGCGCTTACCAGCGATGGCCCCACCAAGCCATCTGTGGTCCTAGCTCAAGGCGAAAAGGGGCTTCCGTCCTTAAACCCTGTCGCCAGCTATTCCCCACTCTGAAAAGAGAAGGGTACTGGGTTCCTGCAAAACCCCAACTCACCTTCTCTCACCTGGGGATCAAGATGTTCATCTGTCTTACCACTTAACACTTGCCTTTTCCCCAAGGCTTCAGTAGACGCCCGCTTCCTCTCCCGGGGGCTCCCTGACTTTACCGCTCTCCAGCCCGTGAGGAGGCGAGGAGCGCGCGCAGCCTCCGGGGAGCAGCCTCCGGGGAGCAGCCTCCGCGGCCCGGGATCTGGCTTCGCGGCTCCCCCAAGAAGCTGCAGTGCCGACTCGCCACTCCAAAAAACTACCGCAGGTGACAGCCGGCTTCGGCGCAAGCTCAGCCCTCCCTGCCGCCTCCCGTCGGCTCCCTGCCCACCCTCCGGAGGGGATAATTTGTTTGCAAGACCAGAAACGTGCTCTACCTGAGCAGGCCAACTGGACGGGAAGGCGTAGACCCTTTTCCAAACCCTGGCAATTCGCGGCCGCCGGACTATTAGTCACCCAAACAGGAAGAGGCAATGGCTTGGGCCGCGGGGACCGGCGGGCAATGGAGTTCTGTGCGCGCTGGGCCCGCGGCCTCTGTCAAAGCTCGGACGCCGCGGACTACGATTCCCAGAAGGCCCTGCGGCCGTGCGCTCCTCAGGCGGAGCCGGGTCGGCGTCGGGAGGAGCGCGCCCGGCGCGCAGGTGTGCGGTCCGGAGGGCGCTCGAGGCTCCAGGTCACCTGGGAGGAGTGGCGCGGCCTCCTGTCGTATTTACAACCTCGGAGGCGCTGTGAGAAATCGTTGATGGGCAGTCCCCACGTCGGGCTGACCTCCCTTTGTCTGTCTTCTCAGGCTTTCGCGGCTGTTTTTGTACTAGGTGGTCACGTGCTTGGACCTTACAGACACCTATCGGACCTGGTTTTGAAAAAAAGAAAGAATAGAAATTAAGAAAGGGAACCAAGTAGAATTGCTGAGTTGTCCATCGTATAGACATTTAGGTTGGTTTTCTGTGTGTTGATAAATTAGTGTCTAAACTAAAAGACTTTGGGGGGATTTTAGCCCCCTTCTTCCCAGCAGATTTCCCAAAGCCAACGCAAATAAATATACAACCTAGGTAAAAATTATGTGATTGTTAGAAAAGTCAGCTGAAAATAAATCCGTGAAAACCATATGGCAACCCCTAAGCCCTTCCTACATAGGCAGCCAGTGGCTCATAGAAATAAACCAGCAAAAAACAAAAAAACAAACAACAACAAACCCCAAGCAAACAAAACCCCCAAACCAACAATGTGCTGTAATGTCATCAAGAACTAAATTTAAAAATCCATTTAACAGATAGCACTGAATGTCAAGTATTTTACATATATTTCCTTTTAAGCCATTATCACAATTTTGTAAGTGTATATTATCTCTGTTTCACAGGTAAAGAAACCGTCTTAAACCAGGCACTGTGGTGGCAGATGCCTGTAATCCCAGGTACTGGGGAGACTGAGGCAAGAGGATGGAAAATTTGAGACTAGCCTAGGCAGCATGGCTAGACCCCATTTCAAAGAAAACATCCCCTCCCCCCCAAAAAAAAGTCTTAAAAGAATTTAAGTGATTTGCCAAGGCTAAACACCTTTCAAGTGGCAAAATATCTGTAATTCAAAAATTAAGGTCTTATCCCAAAGCCTGTGTTTTCAAACTTTTATCAAATACTGGCTCTGTTATTGAGTACCCAATGAATACAACCTAGGTGATTTTGTGTATGTTGCCTTTAAGAAAGATAAAAGTTACTTTGTTGATGATGTCTATCTAGTGCTTTTGCAACTGTTCTCTGGCCCTGCTTTCAAATCAACATTACATTCTTTTGATAGTTTCAGAGATAGCAAATTTTCTTATTCTCTGCATTCCAGACTGAGAAAAATAAGATGGGGAAGTTCAGAAGTAAGTGATATGGAGTGTTGTCCACAAAAGTAGCAAGTAGGGAACTTGGTAACTTTGTCCATAAAGGCAATGAATAAGCTGGCAAAACTATTGGAATCGCCTTTTTTTTTAAAAAACTAGAAATAATCATTTTTAAAAATCTTACAACAGCCAGAGAAATACTGGGGGAAAAAACTACTGAATTTTGGTCAGAGTTCTATGGTCATCTACTCCCCAGGTTGGTGGCTTTGAAGATGGCAGCCCACATTCCTGATGTAGTTGTATGTTTTGACCTGTCTGGTGGTTCCTTGAAGGTTCAGCTAAGGACTTGTCTTAGTTTCATCTGCTTCAGCACTTCTCTAGGGCAGTGTTTGTCAAAAACATTAAAACACACACATCAACTGTTGCCACAGGTTGCAGAGAGGGCAGATGAAGCAAGAAATAAACAGATCAATAATACTGGGAAGAAAGAAGCTGAGGAAGGAGTTTCTTGAGGGAATAAGGGCTCTGAAAAGCTTCCTTTGATTCTGGAGAATCTAGAAAGCCATACACATGTCCTGATCTGGAGGTATGCTCAGAAAAGACCCCAAAACATTTCTCTGACTCACCTTCAGGCTATATGCAAGTTCAGTGAAGGCTAAAGCTGTGTTGCAAGTTGCCTGGCTATCCCAACACATAGTTAATTGACAAAGGCTGACAGTGTTTTCTTGTATTTGGCTATTTATCTTTTTTGGCTCTAGGCATTTAATAAATGAAATCACTAACTGACCACTAAACCAATAGAGAATTCAGTGGCCACAAAACAAAGAATACAGACTTCATAGAATTAGTTCAGGATAGTCACTAAAGAAACAAAAATTAGTCACAATAAACAGCAACAACAAGCCCTGGTGTGAAAGGGAAGAATCTGGTATCCAGAATTGTCACATTGTAATTTGCAAAATGTCTAGTTATCAACGAACAAATATGAGGCATACAAAGAAAAAAAAATACATCATATTTTCAGGGGGAAAATGTTAGAAGGATCTTTAGGAAGCCCAGACATTAGAATTGCTAGACAAAGGCTTCAAATCAACTGTTTTAAATATGTTCAAACAGTTAAAGGAAACCATGAGCAAGAACTAAAAGAAACCAGAAGAACTTGATTTTTCAATGGAGGTTATAATTAAATAGATAGAAATTAAGAAAGGAAACCAAATAGAATTTCTGAAGTTGAAAAGTACAATAATTGAAATGAAAAATTCACTAAGAGAGATTCAATAGCAGATTTGAGCAGGAAAGAGTAGGGAACTTGAAGATAGGTCAACTGAAGTAATCCAGTTTGAATAACTGAAAGAATAAAGAAGGAAGAAAAGTGGAAAGAGCTATGTGAACTGTGGGACACCATCTAAGCAAACACATGCATAATGGGAAATCCAAAAGGAGAGGAGAAAAGAAAGGAGTGTAAAGAATGTTTAAAGTAAAAGCTGAAAAGTGATATGAATCCATACACCTAAAAAATGCAATGAAATCTAGGAAGGATAAATTCAAAGAGATTCACAGCAAGAAATATTAAAATCAAATTGTTGAAAGAAAAAAACAGTTTTGAGACTAGTAAGAGCATAGTGACTGATCATGGATAAGAAATACTCAATATTAACAGTTGGTTTCTCATCAGAAATCATGGAGCCCACAGCCAGTGTCATAATTTAAATGGTGAAAGAAAAAATAAAGAATTCTATGTCATAATTCAAGTGGTGAAAGAAAAAAATAAAGAATTCTCCAAAAATAAAGAAAAATGAAGATGATCCCAGAATAACAAAAACAGGAACTTTTTATCATGACTAGACCTGCCCTACAAGAAATGCTAAAGTCTTTGCTTGAGTTTGAAAGGGAAAGATGGTAGGTATTAGATGTGGAATGACAAACCCCAAAATAGCATGGCCTGGGAAGAGTGAGGAAGAAGGCAACATATTGATAACATTGATCTTTTCCCAATACAGTCTTTCCCAGTGTCTGAGACAATCCCTAGAAAGGAAGCAAACATCATCCAGTGGCAAGAGGATCCCTACAGAGGAAATATCCATCAAAGCCTAGACTGGCAGTCTCTGGGAAGAAGCCAAAGCATTGATCCTTCTCAAAATAAATCCTTTCCCATGTCAGTACAGTGGAACCCTGGAGGGAAAGAGATAAATACCGAATGCTGATCCGAGACCCTCCATTAGACATGCTTTGGCAAATTAAGTTACCTCACAGCGTAACCCACATAATCATAGACTCCCCTTTTGGCCAGGGACTCATTTTCCACCAGGAAAGTGGGTCTATCAGAAGCTGACTCAATTGCTGAATAAAGGCTCTGATCCATGAAGTTTGCACCCGGTTCAGTTCTTTTGTGCTAACAATAGGCAGTAATTCAAAGTCATGTGAAGAGATGAACGCTTGGGTTGGGGTTGTGGCTCAGTGGTAGAGCGCTCACTTAGCAATTACAAGGCCCTGGGTTCGATTCTCATTAACACTTAAAAAGAAATAAGTAAAATAAAAATATTTTTTTAAAACCCCATAAATTAAAAAAAAAAAAGAAATGAACACTAGTAAATGTAACTACACAAGTATAAAACTTATTCGCTTGTATTTTTGACTTGTAATTCTTCTTAATAAAAGATTTAAATGATGGGTCTGGGGGTAGCTCTGTGGCAGAGTTCTTGCCCGGCATGTGTGAGACACTGGGTTCAATCCTTAGTACCACATTAAAAATAAATAAATAAAATAAAGGCATTATGTCCATCTACAGCTACAAATAAATAGGTAAATAAATATTTAAATGACAAATGCATAAAACAATAATAACAAATCTATGTTAATGGGCACACAATGTATAAAGATGTAATTTTAGACAGTTTTACACTAATAGTTGGAGACTTCAATACCCTACTGTTAATAAAGGACTAGATAGGACTGGGGCTGTAGCTCAGTGGCAGAGTGCTTGCCTTGCACATGTGAGGCACTAGTTTCGATCCTCAGCACCACATTAAAAATAAATAAAGGCATGCTGTTCATCTACAACTACAAAAATAAATAAATAAAGGACTCGATGGAATATGGAAGATGTACATGGAATTAGAAGACTTGAACAATACTTTAAACCAATGAGATGGAACATTTATAGATCATCTTATGCAATGACAGAATACATATTCTTAAGTGTACATTGAACATTATTGAAATAGAATATATGTTTAGTCTCAAAAACAAGTCTCAATATGTTTTGAAAGTTTGAAGTCTACAAAGTATCTTTCCTGACTGTATGGAATGAAATTAAAAATATAAAATAAAAAAATATGGGAAATTCACAAATATGTGAAAATTAATAAATTTCTAAATAACCAGTGGGTTAAAAGAGAAATTACAAAGTACTCTGAGATAAATGAAAGCAAAAGTATACCAATACTTATGACACGTAGCAAAAGCAGTGCTTATGGGAAAATATACCCATAAATTTATACCCATAAATGTCCATGTTAAAGAAGATCTTTGGGCTGGTGTTGTAGCTCAGTGGTAGAACACTTGCCTAGCATGTTTTAGGCACTGGGCTTGATCTTCAGCACCACATATAAATAAATAAAATAAAGGTATTATGTCCATCTACAACTAAAAATACATAAAAAGAAGATCTTTAATCCGTAAATCAAAATTTTCTACATTTTTTAAAAAAATAAATCTT